AATTAGCTATTTTTAGTGGTTTCCATGACTGTTCCACTGATATCTAAACAACCACTCATGGGATTTGATGAAACTTGGTACATAGATGCTCTGAACTAATGCTAGGTTTTGATTTAGTTTTTGGTAATAATCCGTGGATACTAATTACCTAATTTGCATAATGATTAGTCAATTTTTCGGGTTTTTCCACTGATATCTCAAGTACTAATCATCACATTTCAATGAAACTTGGTACATAGATGTCATACGACACTGCACAGACCTGATAGTTTTTATGGTAATATCAGTACATATTAATTACCTAATTTGCATAATTAATTAATTTTCAGCATTTGATATAAGTAGTTAGCATTACATTTCAATGAAACTTGGTACTTACATACTCAAGGACTATGCAGAGATTGATTGTTTTCGATAAATATTTGTGCATATTAATCACCTAATTTGCATAATTAGTTAATTTTCAGCTTTTCCACAGGTATCTCAAGTACTAATCATCGCATTTCAATGAAACTTGGTACATAGATCCTTTAGGACTATGCAGAGACCTGATTAGTTTTAGGGTAAATAATTGTGCATATTAATTACCTAATTTGCATAATTAATTTTCAGCTTTTCTACTGATATCTAAAGTACTAATCATCATATTTCAATGAATCTAGAATTATGCAGACCCAATTAGTTTCTGGTAAATATTTGTGCATATTAATCACCTAATTTGCATAATTAACCAACTTTCACACTGATATCTCAGGTACTATACATCACATATCAATGAATGTACATGGATGCTGTAGGACAATAGACAGACCTGAATACTGTAGAATACTTTATTTTCGCTTGGAATTTATTTTCGCTATTTTCGCTGAAAGGATGATTCCGTGAAAATAAAATCCAGCGAATATACATTTTTTTCTATATTTCTATATAAACTCATCAAAAATCAGTGAAAATATATTCCATACAAAACGTCCAAAAAGCCTTTTCAGCGAAAATTAATTCCAGCGAAAATAAAGTATTCCACAGTAATTGTGGGTTAAAATCTGTACATATTAATTACCTAATTTGCATAATTAACCAATTTTAATCTTTCACACTGATATCTAAAGTACCGTAAAAACTCCAAAATTTCGACTGGTTTTAAATAATTTGTGTTAGAAATGTGACGTGTTTTTAGAGTCAAAATTAAGGTGCATTTTCGGACGGTCGAATTTTTCAGAATAGAAATCAGCAAAAAAAAATGGGGATGATAGACAGTGTGCTTCATTAGTTTTAAAAAAATGCAATGTCCGTCAATTGACGTAAACTTCCTCATGTTTCACGGTAAAAGCAAAGGTCGTGGCCGAGTTGTAACTCAAAATCTAAACAAAGTCATCAATCAGTGAGTATTATGACAAGCAAAACAAAACATCAAGACGCGGAGAAGAGGTCAGCACAAAACTAATAGGTCAAAAGACAAAGCTGTCTCGCACTACCTAGGAAAACTTGTGAATGTTCGAAGTACAGGTACCCATTGGACAAAAGATACATGGAAGTTTAGCAAACGATCTCTC